GGGAGTGTGGATTGTCATCTTTTAAAATATGTGTAAGAGAGAACCTAGCCAGCTATAACAAGCCCCACACTCCTCCATAGCACTGTCCCACTGTTTGTTGAACCGACTGTTCTATTGCCTTTTAGAAACACTTTAATGTACCTCACCCTTTCAGTGCTAAAGAGGACAGCTGTTAGGGGAAGGGGGGTTGTTAGTTACAGTTTAGCTAACTTCCGCACTCGTTTTAGCACTAACAGGAATAGCGGGTACAGGGAACGGAGCATGTTGTCTTACAGAAAGCCTCTGAGAATTTCGGCAGAATACTATTTTTCTAGTCCTCATGACTTAGGAGAATCTTGAAAGGACAAAGCTACGGCTTATGCTCAAAACCCAGAGATGAGGATGCAAGGACATACCTATGAGTTAGCCAGGCTGTCCCCCGTCAAGGGCATAGGCCCAGGGATGCAAAAACCATGCCTGTCCACTGTGGCTTGGGGTGGCTAGGAGCTCACCCGTCTGGGTGCTCCCCAGGCCATTCCTCCACTGTTCTGGGTAATACTACTACTACTACTACTACTACTACTACTACTAATAATAATAATAATAATAATAAATTCTATTTATACCCCATCCTTCCCAGCCAAGACCGGACCCAGGGCAGCTAACACCAGATATAAAACAATTGATTGAAATACAACTTAAAAACAAGATTAAAATACAACATTAAAATGCAGCCTCATTTCAGCAGAGAAGGAGAAGGATCCAGACTGGTCCTACGTGGGCCAGAAAAAAAAGCCAAGGATGTCCCCAAATAGGAGTTACATCACAGAAGGAAAAAGGAAAAAAGAAAGAGGGGGAGGGGATCAAGTTGATTCCAAGCCAAAGGCCAGGCGGAACAACTCTGTCTTACAGGCCCTGCGGAAAGAAATCAGATCCCGCAGGGCCCTGGTCTCATGAGACAGAGCGTGCCACCAGGCCGGAGCCAGTGTTGAAAAGGCCCTGGCTCTGGTTGAGGCTAATCTGACTTTCTTAGGGCCCGGGACCTCTAGGATGTTGCTATTTATGGACCTTGAGGCTCTCCGTGGGGTATACCAGGAGAGGCAGTCCCGTAGGTACGAGGGTCCTAGGCCGTGAAGCGCTTTAAAGGTCAAAACCAGCACCTTAAATCTGACCCTGTACTCCACCAGGAGCCAGTGCAGCTGGAAAAGCAATGGGTGAATATTCTCCCATGGCAGAGACCCCGTGAGGAGCCTCGCTGCTGCATTCTGCACCCGCTGGAGTTTCTGGGAATGACTCTGGGCTAAGAGAAGTTAAACGTTCCCTGCCCTATCGCTGCATTATTCTAGCTCCTAAATAGCCACCCCTCACCCACACCCCTTCCCACAATGTACCTGGTACAAAAGCATCCAGGCCTTTTTTCTGTGGCCTGAGGAAGCACAGGATGAGTTCATGGTTGTCCTTTAAGGGACTGCAGTTGGCAACTGAAATATACTCGGAGTCGAGAGCGGATTTCATGCTCTTTATTCAGCTCATAGTGGTGAGGAGGAATGGAAGTTCCCCCAGAATGTCTGCTTTATATACATTATTTACACAATGGGCCCCACGTGACTGGCTAATTCCGGGATTCTCCTGTAGGCCAATCAGGTTGCGGATTCACTTCCACCTGGAGCTGGATTGGGTGGCTCCTGTGGACCAATCAGACTGCTGCATTCTGGGTCCTATTATTCTAGGACCAATCAGACTGCTGCATTCTGAATCCTATTATTCTAGGACCAATCAGACTGCTGCATTTTGGGTCCTATTGTTCTAGGACCAATCAGACTGCTGCATTTTGGATCCTATTCAGCTCAGTACATAACAGCAATACTGCTCACTGTTCTGTTACCAACCCTCTTCTTTCCCTGCCCCTCGGTTGTGTTTCAGGTGGGCTTCATTGACTACATCGTGCACCCGCTGTGGGAGACGTGGGCGGACCTGGTGCACCCAGATGCACAAGACATTTTGGACACCCTCGAGGACAACAGGGACTGGTACCACAGCATGATCCCCCAGAGCCCCTCTCCCCCTCCGGACGACACGGAGAAGGACGATGAAGCCTGCCTAGAGAAATTCCAGTTTGAGCTGACTCTGGAGGAAGAGGGGGAGGACTCAGAGCAGTCTGAAAAGGACCACAGCAGCCCCGGCGACGAGGACAATAGCTACTACACAGCCGCAGAGGAGCAGCAACACGAGTCCCAGGAAGGGCAGGACAGACTAACGGACGACACAGTGAACGACACGTCTCCCGGCACATCATGACTTTGGGGAAGGGACAATTGAAAAAGCAAAAAAAAAAACACACACACACGAAAGTTTTCATGAGGGAGGGGCAGGGATAAAAAAAAACAACAACGAAAAAACTCATTTTTTATTTTTATTGTATTTTTTATAAAAAGAAAATCAACAAGAAAAAAAGGGAAATATACACAGCAACTGTAGAACCAGGTTGGCCCAAGCAAGGGGCAGTAGCCCTGCTGCTTCAGTGAGCGGCCCAAGCACTCCAGAAATAATCTTACCTTTAATTTTGCTTTCTTTTTCTTTCTTTCTTCTCCGTTGTTGCTGAGTGGGTTTTTATTATTTTCCTTTGCTGCTTTAAAAAAAAAAAAAAGACTGGTGCCATCAGGAACAGAAGGAGGGCGATGGTGAAGAAAAGCATGTATGAAGTGGTGGCAAAGGCCAAGCAGGAAGAATAATAATAATAATAATAATAATAATAATAATAATAATATAGTATTTTAAGCCATTTGTAGTAAAACAAAGCAGAGATGCTGCAGGGCTTCAATGCCAAAAACCAGTAATAATTTTCACACATGCCCCTTCTGTTCATCTGGCTCCCTTGCTTCAGACATGCCGTCCTGGGTCGTTTCGTGCCTTTATTCCTTTGCCCATCGCAGCATAACCCTCCTAGCTGGAAAACAGGGTGTTCAAAACATTGGGGATTTTTGGGGGGGGGGGGAGAGTTCTAATAACTTTGATTTTTGTAACTTATTTTTTTAAGCTACTGCTAATTTATTTTTGTGAGTTTATTTTGATTTGATCGGACTAGTAAGAAGAAAGGACTTTGCCTCCTTTCTTTCTTTCTTTCTTTCTTTCCGATGCACTTTTTTAAAAATAATAATAATAATAATAATGGTTTGCAGGTGGGGAGTTCCTTTTTTTTTAATTTTTTGCCTGTGACGCCATAACATTCTCCCAGAAGCAAATGGGAGAAGACATTACTTTTAAAGAAAACAAAAGGGAACAAGAAATCAAATAAGCAAAACATTTTATCTGAGTTTCCAAATAGCCAAGTCTTCCTCCGTTTATCATTTTGCACAAAAAAAGAAAGAAAAGGCAATAGGGCCAGGATTGAATGGTTGTAACTGGCCAACTTGCCCAGACAGCTCCATAGGGGACCTCAGGGGTGAGTATTCCTCTCCCAGTAATGGGGATGGGATGGAGAGAGGGGGGTTGGTTTGCATCCTTCCTAACCCAATAATAAGAGGAGAGACTTATGTTTTTCAGTGATGATTATTTAAGGACTAATTTGCAGGTTACCACCATCTTTATGTCTGAAAACCTGTGATTTGTTAGTTGATGAATCTCTAAACTGCAGTACCCTTCTTCCTGCTTACAGGTTTGTCAACTAGGAAATGCAAGTGTACTGACCACAAACAAACAAACAAACAATTTGCATGTGCCTCTAGGCACATATTTTTCTCACAGGAGGCTTGATACAAGCAGTCTGTATGAATGAAACTCAAATCTTTATTTCTGTGCAATGCAGTGTAATGTGGCTGGATCACATAGATTGACTTGTGAAGTTTGTATGCTGGGGTGGGGTGGGGTGGGGTGGGGGCTTTATTAAGTTCAAAGGCTAGAGGATCTAACACTCTTGGTTCCAGAGGTGAGGATCCACCTCAGACCACTAGGAAAATTATGTGTTTACATGTGCCCAGAAACCCCACACCGTTCTCACACTGCTGTGACATAAGCCAATAGCTTTTTTCAGACCCTGGGTCTGCTTCCAGAGAAGCTCCATCTCTCAGAGGTCGGTCAGATCGACAGAAAATCCAGCCAAAAGAGGAGTCTAAGCACTATGCAGGCTTCTTACTTTAAGGTCACTTGCCTTGAAGTGAAATACAGAGGCAGCCAGAGAAAGGGGGTCTGAAATGTGCTTTTCTTTCCCTCCACGGGGCTGATCTTGCTATACAGATCTCCATGCCAAATGCTGCTCTCCTGACGATCTCTTCCCCCGCTCCCTTATTGGGCACAGAACAAGGAGCCCCAGCCACCTCCTGACAGTTCTAGAGAAGCAGGACCTGCTGCCTCACTCACCCTTGCACCAGAAATCACCATGAGAGAAAAGAAAAGAATCTGCTCTGTGGAATATCAAAAAGAGATCTTTTTGGCTGCTTTTATTCTTTGCCTTAACCAGCCAGTGGAGTATAATTTGCTAGTATCCTGCATCATTGTCCTGGTATGAAGAGGGTGAACTTTTCTCCATCCACAAAATGCCTTGCCCTACCCCTGGATGGACGTTCTCCTTAGCTCTGGGGACATCAGATATTTCCATGGACAAGCAGTGCTAGGGAATCCAGTCCTAAGAACCACAGGAAACAGACATCCTGGATCCTCTTTTCTTGTGCCTCTGTCCACTTGGGGAAGCTGTAGCCTAGTCCTTGGCTGGCTGGATTCTGGGGGGTCACTCCCCCCCCCCCACTGGCTAGAGGGCCCAACCCCTCTTTTTGGAGGCAGAGGGAGAGGAAAGTGGGAGAGCGGCAGCACAAGTGAATTGTGAGCGGATTGGCCTTTCGACAATGTGAGACGTGATCTCTCCCACTTGAGGTGAGGCCAGGACTGGGATCCCCTTTAGCCTGTCTTACGTGGCCATTCAGGGCTGGCATGTGCCTCCCCTAATCTCTCCCCTCCATGTAAAGTGGTGAAGCAATAACAAGTGAGGTCCCATTCCCATCACCACGCTGAGCTTTCGAACCAAAGCCATGTCTCCTCTTTTGCAAAGTCTCCATCCCACCCACTTTGCATTGACTTCTGTTTGGCCAGTTCTCCTAGTACATAGGTTCAGGCAGGCGGCAAGTAGCCTTCCAGAACTGTTACAACCCAAGCACGGTAGTGGGCAGGGGGACAACTGGGGTGGAGAGATGGGCTGGCTCTTGCACAGCAGCCAGCCAGTCCCTAGAACACCTGCCAGCCGCTGCAGCCCCTGGTCTCTGCTCGAAAGCCAGTGTAGGGCATCTCCTTCCCTACCCAAGGAGAACATGGCCATTTCTGAACACAGTACTGTAGCCATTTTCTTTGTATTTTTTCACTTTTCTTTCTTGAAGCCTCAACTGAAGAAAAAACAAAAAGGGAAAGAGAGAGGAATTCTTTCTTTCTGATTTGTGTATAGCTTTTATTTTTGTATGCAGTTCTGTTCCATGAGTTTGTTGGGTCGGGTTTGGACTGTACATAGTTGTGAATAAGCAGATTGTAAATTATTCTAAAAAGAGTAAAAGAACCTTACAAACAATACCCCCCCTTTCCTTTCCCTCCCGGCCCTGCCTCGGTTTCTCTCCCCAAACTCCTGCCGTAGGACCTGTGCTGGGAGTGCATTTGTGGAGAGCAACGAGGTCTCTGAGAGACTCTCCAGCTGCAGCCTCTCCTCAGAGCTCTGGGACGCAGGCCCAGCCCCTGCCCGTTTCTCCTGTCTGTGTATTTATGGTGTAATATAGACACATTGGAAATTGTAGAATTGTCATTTTTCCTTGCAGTGTCGTTAATCAGCTGTTGCAATGTTCTCTCTCGAATGTTACCAAAACCGTTCAGCAGCCGAGCTCACAATAAACCAGGAGAAAGGGAGTCTTTGTGCCTGTGACCTTGACCTGCCTTCTCTGCAAGGCTGCAAGAGGTGTGAGTGTTTTTTCAATCCCCCGGAGGCCAAAAGGAGAGGGGAAGAAAGCCAGGTCCAGCCTACCATTGAGCAGTCTAAGGCAGCTGCTATATAGGCATCTCATTTTGGGGGTCGTAAGAGGGCAGCAAGGATGCGGGTGGTGCTGTGGGTTAAACCACAGAGCCTAGGGCTTGCTGATCAGAAGGTCGGCGGTTCGAATCCCCGCGACGGGGTGAGCTCCCGTTGCTCGGTCCCAGCTCCTGCCAACCTAGCAGTTCGAAAGCACGTCAAAGTGCAAGTAGATAAATAGGTACCACTGCGGCGGGAAGGTAAACAGCGTTTCCGTGCACTGCTCTGGTTCTCCAGAAGCGGCTTAGTCCTTCTAGCCACATGACCCAGAAGCTGTATGCCGGCTCCCTCGGCCAATAAAGCGAGATGAGCACCGCAACCCCAGAGTCGGCCACGACTGGACCTAATGGTCAGGGGTCCCTTTACCTTTAAGAGGGCAGCAAACTCTAATGTTCTATTGCTGTGGATGCTGTGGCCCTGGAGATGTGGGGACAGGGGATAATGGGAGGGATCTGTTGCTTTGCCTTGGGCAGCAAAGTGTCTTGGGCTAGCCCTGAACAGGAGCCAAGCAGCCCCGCAAGCACTATTTTTATTCAATCCCAGGAATGCCAACTCTTCCCAGGCGAGACGTGGTGCCATCTTCAAAGGCTCTTGGATTGCAATATCGACACACTCGGAGCAGCTCCAGGGACTTCTGACTTTAATGCTGTGCCTCGTCCCGTGGGGTTTTCCCTCCTCTCACAAAATCGTCCCCTTTTCGTGTCTGTCTTGAACATGGCACTCTCGGGCTATCCTGATTACAAGCCACTATGATCTATTTTGACACTCAAGACACACACAGCTAAATTGTAAAAACAAAAATAGAACTATATAAAACAAAAAAATAAAATAATTGTTGCAATTAATAGAACATGCAGGAAATCAGCAATTAACAAAACCAGCAGTCAAAGGCCTTTAGAAAGATGGGCTTTTTGCCCCCTTCAGCAGGAAAAGAGAACAGAAGGTTGCCACACAGCCATGGACCAATAGTAATATCAGGTTCAGCTACCCGTAACATGACTGTCCTTCACAGAGTGAAAGCACCCAGAGTGGGGGCTACGCTGCAAAGGCTAAGTGCCACTTCTTGAAATAAGAGAGGCAGTCTTGGGCAATGCAAGATCTTCATGGTTCAGCATCTTGAATTGGGTCTGGATGCTAATTGGCAACTGGTGGTGCTGCTGCAAATCAGGACAGTTGTGTGCCATTAGGTGGTGAGCTGCAGACATTCTGTTTCTGAAGAGTCTTCTTCGAAAACATCACTCTGTGGTGCATTGCTGTGATTTATTCTGGAGGCTACCAAGGAAGAGATAAGGTAAAATCTCCTCTTTCCAGAAAAGGGGCAATGTCTTACCTACCTGCTGCCATCTTCTGGACACTTCGTGCAACAAAGGGCTATTGAACAGCCATGGTTACTGACGGCTGAGCGGGTTGTTTGAACTAGTTCAAGGCATGGCACGCTGCTCCTGCCATCCTCCTGGAGTGTCTTTGTAATTGTAACATTTTAAATAAGACCCTTTTATTTGCTGCTTTCTGACTAATTGTTTTTAGACAGTTGCATTGTAACAAAAACAACGAAGTTTCTGGTGGCTCCTAGAATCACTAGCAGATTTGTATTCACCCCCAACCTTCCAGCTTATGAAAGGAGAGGGGTGGATGTTAAACGGTTGTCCTGTGAATCATGGAATCATAGAACCGTTGAGTTGGAAGGGACCCTGAGGGTCATCCAGCCCACCCCTCTGCGATGCAGGAATTTCAACAAAAGCATTCAAATGATAGAGGGCTGGAACTGAGCTCTCTGCCTGGACAAATAGCAGGACAAATAGCAGTGGAAGAGGTGGGTTGGATCAGGGAAATGATCCAGGTTTAGAGGAGGAAAGGATGAACACTCCCATCCTCTTATCTCCAGGGCCCAAAATGGATTCTGGGACCATTCAGGTGGCGTGTTTATGGAGGAACCCTGCAGTTTTATACAATTTATTACAGTAAAGTAACTCAACAAAAATGTTGAATTGGGGCAGAATGAACTTAAGTGTTTGGTAAGGGATTGAAAATAGCTGCCTCAGAACTGTGTCACTGTCATAATTGGCTTGATATAAATCAACCAAGAAGTATTTTTTTTTTTTAATGTATATGTTTGATTTCTGACTCGCTCTTCGTCAGTCAGTCCCAGTTGCAACAATATAAAAATACAATATTCAAACAGTTTTACAGCTCTGGAGATTGAAGCATATTCCCCAACAAGGGGAGTTGGCACTGGGGGGTTTCAGTCTAGAGAGGGGCAGGGGAGTCAGTTGTGGGGCCACGATACAAGATTATAAAACAATACAGCCGCTTCCATACTTTTAGAACACAGTGGCATGAAGTCAATCTGTGCCTCTAGCCTGCCCTCTGCTGGACAGTTTACAGAATTAACATAAAACAGCAATCAAACGGATCACACAAGATAATGTGTTAAAGGATTTCATACAGCCATACAATCAAAACAAGAGAACATATTCAGGAGGCAGAGCATTCGTGTTTGCAGAACACCGCATTCTGGATTGTGGGAAATTTGCTGCAGTGCTATACTCACTTGCCTGGGAGTAAGCCCCTGTTTTACTAAAGGAGCCTTACTAGCCTTTACTAAAGGAGCCCCAGTTGATAAGCAAATGATTCTCCTGTTAATCCAGAGGGAATGGAGTGAACGTGAGTCCTAAGAGCCTGCCTTGGGATGACAGATTGAACTGCATGTATATTTTCTATGTATGTTTACCTGGGAGAAATTCCCGCTGAGCCCAACGGCATGAGTTTGCAACCTCAGTCATTCAATGCAACGTAGACAGCCAACAGATGTAACACAATCGTTCTCGGATAAATGTGAAACTCAGTTTAATAAATTGCAGTGTAAATGCCTCCTAGGCCCTACTCCACATACTATAAACATTCACTGAAAACTGGCCAAACAATCATCATCATCATCATCATCATTGTCCAGTAACACCTTAGAGACCAACTAAGTTTGTTCTGGGTATAAGCTTTCGTGTGCGTGCACACTTCTTCAGATACCTGAAGAATTGTCAGAAGTATCTGAAGAAGTGTGCATGCACATGAAAACTTATACCCAGAACAAACTTAGTTGGTCTCCAAGGTGCTAAAATATTTTTTTAATTTATTTCGACTGTGTCAGACCAACATGGCTACCTACCTGAATCAATAATAAAAATAATTTATTATCTCTACCCCACCCATCTGACTGGGTTTCCCCAGCCACTCTGGGCAGCTTTCAACAGAACATTAAAAACAGAATAAAACTTCAAACATTAAAAACTTCCCTAAACAGGGCTGCCTTCAGATGTCTTCTAAAAGTCGGATAGTTGTTTATTTCCTTGACATCTGATGGGAGGGCATTCCACAGGGCAGGTGCCACTACCAAGAAGGCCCTGTGCCTGATTCCCTGTAACCCCCCTTCTCACAGTGAGGGGACCACCAGAAGGCCCTCGGCACTGGACCTCAGTGTCTGGGCTGAACAATGGGGGTAGAGATGCCCCTTCAGGTATACTAGGCTGAGGCTGTTTAGGGCTTTAAAGGTCAGCACCAACACTTTGAACTGTGCTCGGAAACGTACTGGGAGCCAATTTAGGTCTTTCAGGACCAGTGTTACATGAACTGTCCCTTATTTGGAGTAATCACATTAATTACTTGCACACCTTACAATTTCTGTGTTTCTTTCTCTCAGGGGACACTTCCATCAAACCAACCACATACTGTACTGCACTGAGTAAGTAGTATCACACGCAACTCCCTCAGCTAACTTAAGAGCTCTGCCCTGGGACATAAAGCCTTTCTGGTCCTCTTCACAAAGTGCTCTATATGCTTTGAAATTGTTCACAACACACACACACACACACACACACACACCATGGCACTTATCCCATCAGATGTAAATGAAATAAACAACTGACTTTTAGAAGACATCTGAAGGCAACCCTGTATCGGGAATTTTTTTGTCTAATGTTTTGCAATTTTTTATGTGCTGTAAACCGCCCAGAGTGGCTGGGGAAACCCAGCCAGATGGGTGGGGTATAAATAATAAAATTATTATTATTATTATTAATTTATGTGGCTCTGAGAAGAACATATACAACCCTAGATAATCAAATCTGACTCTGCTTTTGTGATTAAAAACGTAAGGATTAGACCAGCGGCCCACTAATTTGCCAGATTCGATGCTCCCTGCGGCATTTACGAGACACATATATGGCACCAGGCACACAGACATGCCCTGCTTGCTTTGGGTAGGTCTACTTCCATAAAGCAGAGCAGAGGACTTTAACCTTCCTTGCCAGTGGAGGACTCTCTCTTCTTTGTCCTGAAGGATGCCAGAGGTTTGGCAAAGGGAAGCTGAGCAATGCCACACCGATGACTTGCTTCTTTCCTCTGAACACCAAGACTTCTCTGTGACTCAGTAGCACATGATCTCGTAATTATTACACGGGGCAGTTTCTGTTCTCCGATGCCACGTTCCTGGTAAATCATTCTCCCTAATGTATAACCATCTATTTTTATCATTGTAACCTGCCCCAGGACTTCAGTCAGCCAGACAAACATTTTACTGTATCATCCCTAAAAAAGGATTTGGGTCTCATGAAGAACCACAATTTTAATTCTTCTTCTAGCTGACTGAAGCAATCCTGATGTGCCCTTGTGTGAGAAAGACGGGCCTAGACACTGAAAATGAACATGAGAAAATTGATCATATCAACTCCATTTCAACTCCAGCGACAAGGGTTGCCAGGCCTCTGTCTAACCTGATTCAGATGCTTTTTCTTCTAGACTTCTCAGAGGTTTTTGATACATTCTGCAGGACTGCTTTGTCCCTCGTGCTATTTTAAGATATACATGAAACCACTGAGTTAGGCCATCTGTGTATTTGGGGTAACGTGTCGTCAGGGCTCTGCTTCTCCTTTTCGTCAAATCCTGACTAATCTGGATAATGTGCTGGACCAGTGGGGACAGTAACAGGTTGCATGAGGGCCAACAAACAGAGGCTCAATCCCTATAAGATGGAAGTGCTGTCAGCAGGCAGATTTGTCTACCTGGGTGGTTAGAGCAGTGTTGCTCTCTGAAGGGTCAGGTTTGTGATTTGAGGGTAGTGCCTGATCCAACTATTGTCACTTGGAGGGCATTTTTAGCTGAGACACCCCAGCTATGGAATTCCCTCCCTAGGGACGCTTGCCTACTGCTGAATTTGATTTATTTTTGGCGCCAAGTTTAAATAGTCCCCCCTTTTTTAAAAAAAGAGGTGCAGATTTTTAGGCTGCCCACTTTCCTAGAAGCCTAATGGCACACAGTGAAACTTGATTCTGAGTGAATATGCTGAGGATTACTCATTTAACTTCATCTCCTCCTCTTCTTAATTGTACCAGTTTTATTGAAGTCCTGTTGCTTTTAAATCTTTTGTTAGCTACTCCAAGAGACCCTTTGGCTGCAGAGCAAGCTAAGAAATGTCCCAAATTAACAAAGATGTGTACAGTGGTACCTCGGGTTACAGATGCTTCAGGTTACAGACTCCGCTAACCCAGAAATAGTACCTCAGATTAAGAACTTTGCTTCAGGATGAGAACAGAAATTGGGTGGTGGCGGCGTGGCAGCAGCAGGAGGCCCCATTAGCTAAAGTGGTGCTTCAGGTTAAGAACAGTTTCAGGTTAAGAATGGACCTCTGGAACAAATTAAGTTCTTAACCCGAGGTACCACTGTAATGAGCAGGGAAGGGGGAAAGGCCACGTTTTGGTTAACTCCTCTTGGGTATGTGGGTGCCTGGCATCAGGAGGTGTGCAGGGGTGAAGACATAATGTTCCAGTTTTGACTCCAGAAAGCTGGGGTCACCTTTGTGGTGCACGTGGGCACAATGGCAGCTTGAAGAACTTGTCCTGGTGCCTGTGTGAAGTCTGGCCATGAGCCCTCCCCTGCTGCACATGGGTGACTCTCGCTCTCCCCCTCCCCCTCCTGAAAAGCGCATAGAGGTGAAGGAGGAAGTGGGAAGAACAGCACTCTTTCTTTCCCACTTCCTATTCCAGCTCAATGTGCTTTTTAAGGCTCAGATTGGCACCTGAGCGAAAAATGAAGCAACTGAGAGTAAGAAGGGGAGCAGCCCAGGACACTGAGAGGGGCAGGGAGGAAAACGGGCCATCTGGGGGAAGGCAGGAAAGAGAAAGTGGGCTGAAGAGGAAGAGAGGGGGAGTGAATGGGATGTCAGGAGAAAAGGTGAATGCACACCCACTTGCGTGTCAGACCAAGTAAGGATGCTCTTGAAACTGCACAATTTTTAAAGTGACACCTCCACTCCTCAAACCACCATCAAATCTCAGATTGCTTCTGCCTCTTTTGATTGAAACCATGAAAATAACAGACCTGCTGCTTTCAAGCACTGTTAAGGTGACAAAAAAACCTGACTCTTGAGGCAATGGATCTTTACGGACCTTCCTAATTTCTGGAAGTGACGCGGGTGGCGCTGTGGGTTAAACCACAGAGCCTAGGGCTTGCTGATCAGAAAGTCAGCGGTTTGAATCCCCGCGACGGGGTGAGCTCCCGTTGCTCGGCCCCTGCTCCTGCCAACCTAGCAGTTCCAAAGCCCAACAAAATGAAAGTAGATAAATAGGTACCACTCCGGTGGGAAGGTATAAGGTGTTTCCGTGTTTCCGTGCACTGCTCTGGTTTGCCAGAAGCGGCTTAGTCATACTGACCACATGACCCGGAAGCTGTAAGGTGAGATGAGCGCCGCAACCCCAGAGTTGGCCATGACTGGACCTAATGTTCAGGGGTCCCATTACCTTTACTTTTAATTTCTGGAATGGCATCCCCACAGAGGCTCACTTGGTGCCTACTCTGATGTCTCCCCAGCCCCAGGTGAATAACTTTTTATCTCCTCAGGCCTTTAGAAAAACTTTATTTTAAAATCTAAAGCCTATTTACTTCTTGGTGCTTCGGCAAGATTATTCGTTGCTGTTATGAGGATATTTTATTGCTTATAGTTGGGACTAACATTTTCATTATCGTAAGCTGTCCAGAGACCTTTGTTGTCTAACAGCATGCACAATGTGTTATCAATCCAAATCTAATGTCCCACCACTGTTTGCCAGCTGGAGTGACTCCGCTCACCTCCCCCTGCCTGCCTTATACCCTCCGAAATGATTTGGGCATGGGAAGCAAGAGGGGTGGGGGTGCCGTCCTGCAGTGCTCTTTAGGTCAATCCTGCCCATATGCTGCAAGCAGGGGTGCCAACTTAAATCAAGTTTAATTAAGTAATAGCCAGGGACAGCGCTGTAGCTATGGGGTGGTGAGGTGGGCCCCAGCCAGGGGTACAGTCGAGGGGAGGGGCGCAAAATCGGCTGAAAAATATGTCCATAAATGTCTATAAATAAAAATATTATTGCCTCATAAGATAAGGTTTTAAATAGAGGGTGAATTGAATGGGGGAGGGCGTAATCTGGACAGTTCTGCCAGGGACACAAGATCACCTAGCTACGGCTCTGGCCAGGGGGGTGCAGTTGCCCCCCCTAAATCAAGTAAATAAATAAAAATACTTACGGCAACTGACTGAGCAACTGAGTCGCAGATAGCTCGGTTCTGCCCCCAGTAGCAAAAGTCCTGCCCCCCTAACATAAACCCTGGCTACGCCCATGGGCAATGCCCATAAAATTTGGGCAGGCAGACGCCCTCAAATATTTGATTGGAGGACCTCGGCTCCTATGGTTGCAAAGGCTTTATCCAAAGCTGTTCCGCTTGCGCTGCGCCCTTCCCCGCTGGCCCCCTCAAAATCTGCTGGAGGGCTGGTCGGGCGCGGGGGGGGGGGGTCCATCCGGAGCAGCAGGGGAGAGAAAGGGAAAGTAAGACACGCGTCGGGTTACACCTCGCGGCTAGGAGCAAAGGCAGAGCGCGTCGCGTCTGCTTGCACCGAGGGCTGCGATCCTCCGCCTATTTCCCCGGGAGCAAGACCTCCGGACGGCGACGGAACGTGTTGCTCCTTGCGCCTGTTTTCAGGGCTGCGCGCGGGGAGCAGCTCATAGCTGTCAACGTTTCCCCGTTCTTTAAGGGAAATTCCCTTATTCCGAATAGGATCCCTCGCAAGAAAAGGGGAAAGTTGACAGCTATGGAGCAGCTGCTTGTCGCCCCCCGCCCCGTGTCCTCCTTCCTTCCCACCTCCCCTCCCCTCCCGCCTCTGCCCAAGCTCGATTCTCCGCCCTCCCTGCGCGCCTCCCTCGTCCAATCCAGGCGCGCCCGGGCTGAGCTGCGCGGCTCCGGCCGGAGGGGGACTCTTATTGTGAAGCGGGGCGGCCGCTTCCCTCTCTTGCTTAGTCATGCTGACTTACAGCCCCGCGCTCCTCCTCCTCCTCCTCCCTCCGCTCCGCGCTCCTGCCTTCCCTCCCGTGGCGGCGGCGGCGGCGGCGGCGTGCGCAATGGAGGGCGAGCGGAGCGCCCGGGCGGGCGGCGGAGGCCGGCGAGGGAGGCGGCGGCGGCGAGGAGGGCAGCCGCGGGCGGGTGAGTGGTGGCCGCGCTCCCCGCGCCGCTTTCTGCACATGCACAGAGGGCGGCCTGTTGCTTCCGACTCTCCTTTCCCGTCCCCAACCTGCGTGGCCCGAGTGGGGCTGGGCTCAGGCCCGAGCCGCGGGCTCCCCAGAGCTGTGTCCTGGCTGGGGAGGCCTTCCGCCTGCTCTCCGCTCAGGAAGGCCCCTATCCTTAACTTCCACCAACAAGAGTCACCCTCCTGAAAGTGAGCGGCGAGCCTGGGGGGGGGGGCGCGCATATGGGGTGGGGGCTCCCAGGCCCCCGAGGAGGAAAGCGCAGGGGCGGGAGGGGGCTCTGCCTTTGTCGAATTGGGAGGTGGTTTTGTTTTAGCTCTTTGCACCTGGTGGGAAGATGCGTCCTGGCCAGAGTTGTGTGCCTTTGTTATGGGGCAGGTAGGCGAGCTGGAGAGGGTGGTTGGCTATGGGGAGGCGCCTCTTTGGACCGTGGGGTTGTAGGAGGAGGGGCGGGGGGCGGGGCGGCGAAGGGAGAAAGTTAGGGTCGGGCACCACTGGCTGCGGAAGCGATTTGAAGCGGGCCATCTGGAATGGCAGTATTTTGAAGGGAGTCCCGTGTGATGGGCGTGGCCCGGGATCCCTGGTGATGTCATCAAGAGATCTGGTTTGGGGTGCAGGATCCTGGAGGTGCATCCAGGGCATACGCGTCTCAGGTTGTAAGGGGTCAGCTCCAGATGTTGTCGACAGACTCCATCTCCCCAGACAGCATGTCCGGCACTAGGAGGGGCCTAGGCTCCCCTTGTGTGTCTCAGAAATTAATTGGGAAAATCTGGGCACGCGAACCTAAGTTTTTTCTCTCGAGTAGGCTTGTGGCATGTGGAAGAAACTGCTGAATGTGTACATAGTGCACTTTACGCTGGGCTGCAGTTCCCTGGCAGAAGGACGGGGGTAGGCCTTTGCCAACCACAATGAAGCCCCTCCCCCAACACTTGCTGCCCACTGAGGCTTGAAAGGAAAAAGTGGTCAATGGATTTTATAAGATTTTTTTGTAAACTAAGTACAGTGGTACCTCTGGTTGCGAACGGGATCCGTTCCGGAGGCCCATTTGCAACATGAAAAGCCCGCAACCTGAAGCGCCGTATCTGCACAGGTGCATGGCGCAATTTGGCCTTATGCGCATGCGCGAGCGGCGAAACCTGGAAGTAACCCTTTCCAGTACTTCCGGGTCACCGCGGGACACAACCTGAAAAAACATATCATGAAGCAAACATAACATGAGGTATGACTGTACAGTGGTACCTCGGGTTACAGACGCTTCAGGTTACAGACTCCGCTAACCCAGAAATAGTACCTCGGGTTAAGAACTTTGCTTCAGGATGAGAACAGAAATCATTCGGCAGTGGGAGGCCCCATTAGCTAAAGTGGTACTTAAGGTTAAGAACGGTTTCAGGTTAAGAATGGACCTCCAGAAGTTCTTAACCCGAGGTACCACTGTACCTGCCTTTTACTTGACTTAAAGTTAAAGATAGTTACTTAAATCACTTATAGGCTGTTTCCCCACACATATTATTATTATTATTATTATTATTATTATTATTTTATTTATACCCCACCTATCTGGCTGCGTTTACCCAGCCACTCTGGGCGGCCTCCAACAAAATATTAAAAATACAATAAAACATCAAAAACTTCCCTAAACAGGGCTGCCTTCAGATGTCTTCTAAAAGTCGGATAGTTGCTTATTTCCTTGACATCTGATGGGAGGGCGTTCCACAGGGCAGGCGCCACCACCGAGAAGGCCTTCTGCCTCGTTCCCTGTAACCTCACTTCTCGCAGTGAGGGAACTGCCAGAAGGCCCTTGGAGCTGGACTTCAGTGAAGGACTGGGGTGGAGACGCTCCTTCAGGTATACTGGGCCGAGGCCATTTAGGGGTTTAAAGGTCAGCACCACACTTTGAATTGTTCCCCACCCCTGACAGTAAAATCCTAAAGAAATGAACACGCAAGACCCCATTGGGAGATACTGGTATCCACGGTCTTCCAAGTTGCCCAGCGTAGTTCCTGACTTTTAAGGCCTCTGTGATAGGAGCATCTTTCATTCCTTCCTAATAGCAGCAAAAGATCTGAAACCTTGGGTCTCTCACTTGCTTATAGGCAAAGCCCTCCATACTGTTGCATTTGTGAAATATCAAGGGCACTGTTGTTTTACTGAATGAACAAGAGAAACCACTCCTTTCGCAGAGCAAAGAACACCTGTCACACTTCCATTTTCTTCTTTCATCAAGGTAATACATTAGAACCTCAAAGGAGAAACAAACATAAAAAGGTGGTCTTGACTCATAGCCTTACTGTACTCAAACTGGCCCTGAGTAAGTAAGGCTTTAGTTGCTTAATTACTGAATCAAAGTTTGAAGCTGTGATGTGTCTTCGTGAATAAGCCTGCAAAAGTTAGTACCCTCTGACATTATTTTTACTAGAGTCAAAACCCATCAGAATGAGAGTAAGGCTGGGAGAACATTTGAGTCCCTACTTCTACGTAGCTGCTGCTCTTCCTTGCCCAGTGTGATTTCTGTACCTCTGATGCTGAGAGTCCTTGATAGTCTGCAGTTTCTTAGAGCCCTCCAAGCACATTTGATGGGCTGAAAAGATGCGAGAGATGTGCCCGCAGGTAGTTTTCTGGCAGAGCTTTTCCAAGTGGTGAATGGGCTTTTGTCACCTGGCCGAGAGAGTGTACCCAAGACACCTTCAGAGGTTTGCAGTAACAACTTGCAAGACACTTTAAGGACAGTATTGCTTAGTTTTGGACAGACTTGGATGCCAAGTCCCATGGAGGTGTCTAGAGCACTGTGTTCATCTATACTTGATCAGTTTAGATTATAGCAGCCTTGACCCTTGGTCATCTTCGCTTCTTAAAATGAGCTGCAGGGGGTTGGCTGGGAGTGGTTGATGCTTCACTAAAGAGAAAGGAGGCGTTGGTGAGCCCCCTCCTTAAGCAGACCCCCCTGAACCCAGAGGGGTTAAAACAACTATCACCCAGTGGCAATTACCCCCCCCCCCTTTTTGAGCAAGGTAGTGGCAGTTCAGCTTCAGGAGAAAGCAAATTACTTGAATCTACTCTAGACTGGATTCAGCAGTCTGGTTATTGGTGGGGGTTCCATTTAGATTGCATGTACAGTGCTTCAGGTTCAGCACTTTCGAGTTGCGCTCTGTGGCAACCCGGAAGTAACGGAGCGCATTACTTCCGGGTTTCGCCGCTCCCGCATGCGCAGACACTCAAAATGATGTCACGCGTATGCGTGGAAGCGTCAAAACGCAACACGCGCAGACTCACCGTCGCTTGTTACGTTCGCTTCAGGATGCGAACGGGGCTCCGGAACGGATCCCGTTTGCATCCCGAGGTACCACTGTAACTCCTGTTTTTAAAAAGTTGCATAGGTTGACAATTTGCTTCTGGGCCCAATCCACGGTGCTTGTGTTGGTGTTTAATGCCTTAAACAGTCCAGGATCTTCCCTGCAGACCCTCTTGGATCTTAAGGTCAGCAGAGGATTTTGACCAATACCCATTATTTGTTGTTTCTAATGTTTCATGTTATTTATATATATCAGCAGAGGGGTCCAGTCCCTCTTGGTAGTTCCTCTGCCCTCAGAAGTTTGCAGTTGCTGCTGGCCTAGGAGAGGACCTCCTATTATCATTCATCATTATCATCATCATTTATACAGTGGTACCTTGGGATACAAACACCTTGGCTTACAAACACTTCTGGTTACAGACTCCCTTACCCGGAAGTAGTACCTCAGGTTAAGAACTTTACCTCAGGATGAGAACCAAAATCGCACACTGGCGGCACGGCGGCAGCGGAAGGCCCCATTAGCTAAAGTGGTACCTCAGGTTAAGAACGTTTTCAGGTTAAGTACATAACCAGAGGTACCACTGTATACAACTGTATGTATACCTGCAGATCTCAGGGCAGTTCACAACACAAAATCACAATATAAAAAACACAAAATACATAACAAAAATAAAAGCAAGAACAGCCCAGTAACCCCATTCTCTCCCCACAGAGGTGTGTCTGGTAGCTCCACTACAGCTTCCAGAGGATACTGAAGTCACATCTCTTTATTCTGACTTTTGACATTTGAAGGGTATATTTTTAGGACCTAAATGTTTTGGGGGCCAACATGCTCATCCAGGTGGATTTTTACATTTTAAAGGAAATGTCCAGGTTTCCAGGGGGTGGGTGTCATTTTGGCTCGTGCAGCTCAGGATCAGACTCCTCTGCACGCCACAGCCGCTGCCAGCCTGAGCCAGGGAAAGAGGCTTGCGGGCATGGCAGCAGCCCTGCGCACGTCTTTCCCTGGCTCAGGCTGGCAGCAGCTTGGGCCGTCTTCTTTTTCCCTCTTCCAGTTATGGCAACTCTACTGAAATGTTGATTGCTGGCATTCCTCTCAAAACAAGGTGTTTATTTTTGGAAATTTTTAAATTTGGATTTTGGAGTCACACGAACTTTAGATTTCTCAGCAGCCTTTGAATTTTTTCACGGCTCTCGTTTTGCATCGAATGTAGCAAGAGCTTAGTCTGGTGGCTTCATGGGCCTTATGAGCCAGGAGTTCTCCTGCCCCACTTGTGGAGGAACTCCTCCCACAGTTCCCAGGACAGTGTGGGATTTCGGTGGTGTCTGCCGGTCCTGGACTTCTCGCCTTGTTATTCTCCAACATACTTTCTACCAGATTTTCTGGCACTTAGTAAGATCCTTTTGCACATTCCCGCCCCACCCTTCTGACTTGTTTCTGTTTTTCATGCCCTCTTCTGAGGCATTCTGTATCCCTTGCTTCAAGTGACTCTGTAGTGGATGGAGCAGGAAGCAGAAGATAAGGTTGCGACTCCATCTTGCCCTTCGTAGGCCCCTTCCTTTCAAGAAGGGCAGCACAGAGATTGAGTGATTTGCAGGCACCACCTTTGCAAAATGCCCCAAGTGGCCAACCCTTTGTTTGCTTAAGTTGGGACAGAGAGTGCTTCTGATCCTCTCAGCCTGGGTGATGTTGGTCTCGTGGTCTTTGCCTTCCCAGCTTAAGAGGGGCTTCTTGATAACCTGGAGAAGGGCGGCCCAACTTTTTGTACCACGTGGGCCACAAGAGTACTTTGACATGGAACCCGAAGGCTGCACACTGCCTTGTTGCAGAGGGGCAGGTGAGAAGCGAGGCCAAAATTTGACGCCCACCCTCACCCTGCCAGTTAAGCAGGGTGCCAGGCTTTGGGAAGGCAGTGTGAGAGCAGGGGGGCGGTCAGATGTTGCTGAGGGCCATCAAAAAAGGAATTGAGGGCCACATGTTGAACCACCCTGACCTGGAGTGAGGTGTGGGTGGCTGAGGGAAGTTCAAGGAATGATTTCCTGCCGGTGAATCGGCCTTGCGTCTGGAGAAACGGGGGCAGGAAACTGAGGAGAGCCAAGAATGTGTGCCGCCAAGGCAGCTAGCCACGCTTGCTGAGTGAGAGGTCGCAACTGTCTGTAGGGGACCCTGACGCCTGGCTGTGTCACTAGGAGGGCAGGCGGAAACGGGAATGCAGCTTTTGATGTGGCAAAACTGCATAGGCGCACCGTGCCATGCGCAGCTCCAGATTCTCTTTTCCCATCAGGTTTCTTCGGCGCTTCTCTCTCTCTCTCCTTGCCCAAATTTGTGAGAGTCTTCATTAGGAGCCCTGTGGACAACTATTTAAATTTTAAATCCTTGAGCATCTGCATCAAATGCTAGTGGAGGAGATCTGTCTCCATTTTCCCAAGTTGCTTTTCTAGCGTGACATTTCCCCCCACACAGGAAGCACTTCTGTGTAAGAAAGGGGGGCTCTAGGTTAGAGGCAGCCTGTTTTGGGGGCGGGCGGGGACTGGCACTGGAGGTATTCATCAGGCCTCTGACAGCAGGGGCTCATCCTAAGGACCCCCCCCCTCTGTTTAGTACACACATTGACCCCTTCGTTCTGAACTGCCTCTTTCCCCACCCACATTCATTTCTTGGTGAGAACAGCAACTATTGGCTCTTCCCTTCTGGGAGGTGAGACAGGGCAAAGCCTAGTAAACAGTCAGCTGAGGGGCATTATGGAGACAGTATATCAAGGGCATGGGGGCCGGCAGGTTAAAGGGAAGCTTTTGCTTGTTCTCTGGGGTTCATCCACACTTTCCCATGATTTCTAGACATAGGCCCAAGACGGTTTTTTGTTTTTTTGGTCCCACCGCTTTCCCCAGAAAACCCATGGTTTTACTGCTGAATTGGAACAAACGTCAGTGCGTAGAAAACCCAATTGACGTTTGTTCCATTCATCGGTAAACAGCGGGTTTTCCTAGGGGAAGCGGTGGGATGAAAGAGGACACATGCCTAATGGAAGTGTGGACGAACCTCTGGTTTTGCTTGAGGGAACTCACAGAGGGAGAAAATACTGCTTTCCCCACAGATATGAAGAATTGGTTGCCAGCCACGAATGGAGATTGGCCTGCTCTCGCCATTTGGTGCATATCTACCGTATTTTTTGCTCTATAAGACTCACTTTTTCCCTCCTAAAAAGTAAGGGGAAATGTGTGTGCGTCTTATGGAGCGAATGCAGGCTGCACAGCTATCCCAGAGGCCAGAAGAGCAAGAGTGATTGTTGCTTTCACTGCGCAGCAATCCCTTTTGCTGTTCTGGCTTCTGAGATTCAGAATATATTTTTTCTTGTTTTCCTTCTCCAAAAACTAGGTGCGTCTTGTGGTCTGGTGCGTCTTATAGAGCGAAAAATACGGTATTTTGCACGCAGCGCTGTCTCTGCTAAGGAAGCAGGGAGGGGCTTACACACGGTTTGCACAATTTCCTCCTCCAGTGAGCTGCTTTTCTCTTGTAGGAAATCCGTCCCTTCTGAGGTGTTTCAGCAACGATGCCAGACCCTCCCCTTCTATTCTGCTCCTAATCACATGGGGCAATGGAGTATGTGGGCTCCTTCCTACAGAGGTTGCAGAACTCGTGGGGAGAAAATCCCCACAAATAACCAGGCCTGGGCAGCGGAAGGAGGGCTTGTTTCTTTCAAAGCGAAATATGGCACAGAAAGCTGGCTTCCTGTTATCTCACTCCTCTACCTTGGGTGAGCCATTTGGGGGCAGATCCAGCAGCACCCGCCTGCCGTTGGGCTTGCCCTGCTGGTGACGTCATCTAGTGGGAGCAGCAGGACCGCAAGCTGCCTGCCCTGTTTATTTCGCACAGGGGAAACGAATGAATCAGTCAGTTTGGAGGGAGGAAGAGGTGGATGGATGCATCTCAATTTCTTAACTCCTGACAGCACCTGTAGCATTCATGCGCGCTTTGCACCTCTCCAACACGTCCTCCAAATCCGGCAGGACCCGGCAGGAAGAGAGACAGGCACGTGAAAGCTTTTTCAAAACATAAAACAGAACAGTGGTTTGCTGCCACCACCTCCCTGTTTCCAGGACAGATAGGCTAGGTGCCTTTTTTGGAGTGGATTTATTATTATTATTCATTTCATTTCATCTTTATATTTCAAAGAAAAAATCTCAAAGTGGTTTGCAGCACATTAAAACATTAAGTAAAAGGAATGTGTGAAGGAATTGCTTCCTTTCCTTTCATTCAGCTGCATTGGGTGTTCTTGGGGTTTTTAGTATTCTATGAGGTGGAGAAAAACTCTTTATCTACTTTCCTCTATCATCCTACCCTCTCTTTGACTCACCTATATTTTTCCTAAACGAAAAAGCTTCCTCATACTTGGGACTTTCCTTTGCCGAAACCAAAAGGGCTGAGGCAGAAGTGGATGGAAACCTAAAGGGGGAGATGTTCCTTGTGGCTCAACACCTCACCTAACCAGACCTCTCGGCTTCTCTGTCCTTCGTGCAGGTGAAGAGATCTGGCTGCTTGCAGGGGCCCTGTAGACAGCTTCCTGGCCGCTTGCGCCACCACTGCTTCTTCCTCTGTTCCTTCGTGCGATGAGTGTGCGGCTGCAACTGTGATGTACTCCCCAGAGTGCAAGGCGGAGGTGACTCCCTCGCACAATGGCAACCACACCTTCAGCTACACGCTGGAGGACCACACCAAGCAAGCCTTCAGCATAATGAATCAGCTGCGCTTGAGCCAGCAGCTCTGCGACGTCACCTTGCGGGTCAAGTACAAGAACATGCCCCCGGCCGACTTCCAGGCCCACAAGGTAGTGCTGGCCTCCTCCAGCCCCGTCTTCAAGGCCATGTTCACCATGGGACTACGGGAGCAGGGCATGGAGATTGTGCCCATCGAGGGCGTCCACCCCAAAGTGATGGAGAGGCTCATCGAGTTTGCCTACACGGCCTCCATCTCGGTGGGCGAGAAGTGCGTCCTGCACGTCATGAACGGGGCCGTCATGTACCAGATCGACAGCGTGGTCAAAGCCTGCTGCACCTTCTTGGCCCAGCAGCTGGACCCCAGCAATGCCATTGGCATCGCCAACTTCGCTGAGCAGATTGGCTGTACTGAGCTGCATCAGCGGGCGCGGGAGTACATCTACATGAATTTTGGGGAGGTGAGTGCCCATGCAGAGGTGGGGGGGGAGCACGGAGGGCAGGCCTTTTCAGCATCAGGGTGGAATGGTCTGGGTGTGGGGGAATGTCTGGTCGCACGAGAGAACTGCTGCTGCTGCTGCTCCCGTCATGTACAGTGGTACCTCAGGTTACATACGCTTCAGGTTACATACACTTCAGTTTACAGACACCACTAACCCAGAAACAGTACCTCGGGTTAAGAACTTTGCTTCAGGATGAGAACAGAAATCGTGCTCTGGCAGCCCGGCGGCAGCAGGAGGCCCCGTTAGCTAAAGTGGTGCTTCAGGTTAAGAATAGTCTCAGGTTAAGAACGGACCTCCGGAACGAATTAAGTACTTAACCCGAGGTACAACTGTAGTCTGCTACTCCTCTTCATGGAGGAACACTCCCCATGCCCTTGAAATTTGCCAAGCAGTGCCTCCACGCTGTCATATTCCAGCTCTACACCACTAGGGAGTCTCCTTTCAGACTCCTTAAACTTGTGAGAAGCTGAACTCTGTCGCCACCCCTGCCTTCTGCCTGTTTTCCAACCTTGGTGTGGAAATATGGGGTTGCACTATGTTCTTGTTTGTGACCACAGGGTCTCGTAACTGAGAGGCCAAAGCCTGGCTCAACAGAAAAGGGAAGTAAGGAGAAATAGCAGTTCAAAAGCACGTCAAAGCGCAAGCAGATAAATAGGTACCGCTCCGGTGGGAAGGTAAACGGTTTTTCCGTGCGCTGCTCTGGATTGCCAGAAGTGGCTTAGTCATGCTGGCCACATGACCCGGAAGTTGTACGCCGGCTCCCTCGGCCAAAAAAGCGAGATGAGCACTGCAACCCCAGAGTCGGCCACGACTGGACCTAATGGTCAGGGGTCCCTTTACCTTTACCTTAAAGAATATAAAGACTGTACAGAAACATTTCTGTAGTACTGGTCTTGTAGATGTGATGAAGATGGAACACCTCTGTGCTTAGGATAACCCAAAAGTGTGTTGTTAAATAGGTGTAAGCATTTATGCTACTGTTTCTAGCATATGCATTTCCACTATGAGGCCTGAGTTGATAGAAACCACCTTCCAACAGCCCAACTTGTAACCCTTCTAACAGACACAAGGACTGGGGAGTTAAAATCTTTGTTGCTGACTTAAGCTGCCAGCCAGGAAATGTGGGTCCTTGGTTTCTTATGTCTGGGATCAAATATAAGAAACTTTCCAACTCTCACACACCTGAAAGGTGAAAGAAGTACTTGATTAAAATCCAAATAAAAGAAGAGCCATGTCAGAGATGGGCTGGTTTCTCAGATGTAAACAATCCAAGAAAATATGCCAAAAGTCTCTGTACATTTTTCAGATTCTGCTTATGGTCCTCCTGGTCCCTGGTTTTGGAAAGTGAATTCCCACCAAATTTAAAAAGTTGGGGGAGTCTTACTCCTTGCAGGCTGAATCTAATTTACTCCTCAGCATTCATCTGATGCGCTTGGGAGCAGCCACCCAACCCAGTAAGTGAGGCTGGCAAATGTACTGATGCGCCCATTGCCATCGTGGTGACTCAGCTCAAGCAGTGATACAGCAAAGACTGCAACAGCTTCACCATTGCCTTCCAAGAGTTATCTCAGGCAGGTGGCCCAGCAGAGTGGTCAGTAATGGTAGGATCTGCTCCTTCACTTCCTAGGAATGGTCTTGCAGTCCTTTTAGCAACTCCAGTATCAAGAGGCCTTGGAACAAAGGCTGGTTCCATAAAACCACCGCCAGCAGCCAAGGAGCTTTGTAACATACCATATTTTTTGCTCCACCATACGCACCTAGATTTTAGAGGAGGAAAACAAGAAAATAAATATTCTGAACGAAACAGTGGATGTTTGATTTTTGTGGTTCATTCTGTGGCCACACACATGATATGTGATTTGACGGTAGGTTGGGATAGCCCAATGCAAAAATCCTGAGAATCCATGTGGATCCGTGCTTTGTAACCACGTCTTTGCGCCACTGCAGCCCCACGAAACAGTGGATGCGTGGTTTTTTTGGTGCAGGCTATAGCCATGGACATGCTATGTGATCTGATGGTGAATTTGGGGTGACCCAATGCAAAAATCCTGAGGATCCATGTGCTTTTACCTCCCCCTCCCAGGCAGCCTCCTTTATCGCTAGCGTCCCTTATCTCTCTCCTCATCGCTTGCCGATCAGCTGCTCTGTGGCTTCATTGCAACACCCCCTTCCCTCTTGTTTGCCTTTAGAGTTTTTTTCTTAGCTGAAGCAGTTTTTTGCTCCTTCTTTTCTTCTAATTTCTCTCCTCGTTGCTTTAGTCTTCCTGTCTCCTCTCCTTGCAAGTTTGCTTCTTTACATCCCCCCTTCCCCTGGCAGCCTCCTTTACCCACAGCCTTATCTCCCTCCTAATCGCTAGCGGATCAGCTGCTCAGCAGCTTCATTTCAACACCCCCTTCCCTCTTTCTTTTTTTTAAAAAAAAAGCATTATCTGCTTTTCGCCCCTGGGCAATTCGGCTCCAGGGACCACGCATTTGATCCATAAGATGCACAGATATTTCCCCTTACTTTTTAGGAGGAAAAAAGTGCATGTTATGGAGCGAAAAATACGGTAATCTCCCATGCAGACCCTTGCTCATCTGAGAGCTTCAGAAATCTTATGCCCCACCACCCCACCCCAGAACTCTTTTATTTGGCTGGGGGTGGGGTGGAGAGGAGAGAGAGAAGGGTGCTCTAAACTTGGTCTTCTCCTGCACCACTCATTGTGGTCTCACCGTAGCACCAGAAGGCACTTTGCTCCCCGTTGCAGAGCGGTCAAGGAAAGTGTCGTGTGTTGAAGTGCTCTAGCGAATCTGCAAAACGTCTCCTGCAGAGTTTTGCTGTCATGTCCTGTGTCTCCCTCTGCGCCCCCCCCCCCACTGCAGGTTTCCAAGCAGGATGAATTCTTCAACCTCTCGCATTGCCAGCTGGTGACGCTGATCAGCAGGGACGAGCTGAATGTGCGTTGTGAGTCGGAAGTCTTCCACGCCTGTATCAACTGGGTGAAGTACGACTGCGAGAATAGGCGGCTCTACGTCCAGGCGCTGCTCAAGGCCGTGCGCTGCCACTCGCTGACCCCTCACTTCCTCCAGATGCAGCTGCAGAAGTGCGAGATCCTCAAGTCGGACTCGCGCTGCAAGGACTATCTGGCCAAGATCTTTCAGGACCTCACCCTGCACAAGCCCACCAAGGATGTGTCTTGCCGGGCGCCCAAAGTGGGGCAGCTCATCTACACGGCGGGTGGCTACTACCACCGGTCCCTCAGTTACCTGGAGGCCTACAACCCTTGCGACGGCTCCTGGATTCGACTGGCTGACCTGGAGGTGCCCCGCAGCGGCCTGGCCAGCTGCGTGGTGAGCGGACTCTTCTACGCGGTGGGCGGAAGGAACAACTCCCATGACGGCAACATGGACTCGAGCGCCATTGACTGCTATAACCCCATGACGAACCAGTGGTCTCCTTGCACTCCTATGAGCGTGGCACGTAACCGGATTGGCGTGGGGGTGATTGATGGAATGATCTACGCGGTGGGCGGCTCTTTCGGGAGCAACCATCACAACAGTGTAGAGAGGTAAGGGCTGGGTGCGAAACAGGACCCTGCAAGAGTACCATATTTTTCGCTCTATAAGACGCACTTTTCCCCTCTTAAAAAGTAAGGGGGGATGTGTGTGTGTCTTATGGAGTGAATGCAGGCTCCATGGCTTCAGCGAAAGCAACGTGAAGCCTCCGGAACGCAGCAGGAGCGCTCCCGCTGCGCTCCGGAGGCTTCGAGCAACTATCCCTGAAGCCAGGAGAGCAAGAGGGATCGGTGCGCACCGATCCCTCTTGCTCTCCTGGCTTCGCTTCGCTGGAGAGGCGCTGCGCAGCTTTCCCTCTCTGTGCAGCGCCCCTTCAGCACAGCGGGAGGAGAAATGGAAGGGGCTCCGCTTCGCTGAAGGGGCGCTGCGCAGAGAGGGAGAGAATATTTTTTCTTGTCCTCCTCCTCCTCTAAGACTAGGTGCGTCTTATGGTTGTGTGCGTCTTACTGAGCGAAAAATACGGTGCTTTGCTCCAGAGCAGCAAATCCAAGGCTGCAGAGGAACAATCACAGCTGGGCTCTGTGTGTGTGTGTGTGTGTGTGTGTGTGTGTGTGTGTGTGTGTTCCTGCTTCTTCCTTTGCAGCTGTGGCTTTACCTTTGGTGCTCTTTAAATTGGGCACCTTCTCTCCCCCCCTCCCCCAGCACTTTTGGAAAGGGACAGATACACTTGGGAGGGATGGGGAGGAGCTGAAAGGGAAAGAAGATTTCAGGAATGGGAAGGCAGTCAGTTCAGACCCCTAGCAAGAGTGAGCTGCTCCTCCTTGGGCAGCCTGGTGGGGAGAGGGAGAGAAAGGGAAGGTGATGTTGAAAAGAAAGGACCCACCTTTTGTGCAGGCCCTGCTTACGCCTGGTTTTGGCCCCACCCCACCCCCCAGCATGTGGCTCCCTACAGATTATCCTTTAAGGAAATATAGCCATGGGTGCAGCCAGAGGAGGGCAGCTCTCCCCCCTAGATCAAGTAAAACAATAGAAATGCTTAACTGACCAATCACGCTGGTTCTGCCCCCCAACCAAGTTCTGCCTCTTCCTAACAAAAATCCTGGCTACGCCCATGAATATGACCCAGACAGGAAAGGGGGCTGAGTCTAGGGAGGGATGGGGAGCTCTGTGGTCCTTCATACGTTGCTGGACTCCCAACCAGCAGTAGCCAGTGGTCATGGATGAGGGTGATTGTAGTTCATCAATGTCTGGACATACGAAGGTCCCCCATGCCTAGTCTGGGGCATCTGCCCATCTGGCATGACCCAGTGGGACTCTCCCCTGCACAGGTACTGGGTGGGTGGCAAGGGCCCGTGGGTTCTCAGGAGGCTACTGTCTGTGCCAGCAGCATGCACAACTCAAAGCTGATGGCAATTTGATGACCTCATTGCAAAGGCAACAGGGTTGCCTGGGTGCTCTTTTTCTCCCAGGTGCCTGCAAGTGAAGAAAAGTCAGCAGGAAGGTTATTTGGGGGGGGGGGGCAGGAAGTGGCTTGGCTTCAGAATTGCTAATAACTGAAAGAACCACAAAGGAAGCCCTGGCACCCTGCCCTGACCCCTGGAAGAAAGTACCTGCAAACCTACTTCCCTCGATCTGAGGCGTCGGGGAACCGACATGAGATACCCAAGAGTGAGGAAATAGCAGCCATTTTGATTGTCCTATTTCAGACAGCATGGAGGTCAGAGGACAGTAAACAGGCTGCAGGTGGTTCCCCTCTGAGTCAGGAGCAAAATTCACTTGTTTCCTGTCGCTCTTTCTGCACCGTGCCTCACCCAGGTTGGTCACGTGGCCAATGATCCTTGCTTTTTCAAAAAAGGAAAAAAACAGAATGTGCTCTAAAACCCAAGTTTTGAGCATGGGTGCCAGATACACAGCCAGCCTTGGCTATGACTTTTAAGGTAGGACCTTGCAACTTTCCAGAGGGAGGGGTGGCGTTGTGTGGAGTGCAGGTTTCTAGAGACTAAGGCTGTTCGGACACCCCTGAAAAAGGAGGTGGTGTCAGCAGAGAGGCCACTGGTGAATTGTCCAGAGACAGAAATTTGCCTTTCAGTTATTTCCTTGCTCCTTTGAAACCAGGAGGGTTTCGATCTTTTCTTCAGATGGAAGCCAGATATCTAGTTCTGTGCTGACTGTTAACAATCTTCCCTTGAGTTTTGGGGAGACCTTTTGGCTACACAGGGGCTCTGCTCATCTGCTGTTGTTTGACTGTGACCTTTTGGAGGAGGCCCTAGGAACAAGAGGGTGGTGGCAGCTGCTTATTTGAAGCTGAACAGGTGTGAAATGCAGCCTTTCCTGGCCAGCAGCTAGTTTTATGGAGTGATGGCTTTGTGGAAGTGCTGGGGGGCCAGGGCCTCGTGCCCCAACACGGACCACAAGCATGTCCTGTCTTTTGCAGCTGCCCCTCCCTCCCGCAAGCGCCTCTGGATACAGGAGCCAAGATTTGGTGCCCTCCTCCCTGCAGTTGCTTAACTCTGTGCTAGCCTCAGCCCCTTGCTCATGCGCACACATTGTCGACATGCCCTGAGGCGTCTCCTCCCCTCTCTTCCTCCAGGTACGAGCCAGAGCGGGACGAGTGGCAGTTAGTGGCGCCCATGCTCACCCGTCGCATTGGTGTCGGGGTGGCTGTGCTGAACCGTCTCTTGTATGCGGTGGGGGGCTTCGATGGCAATTGCCGCCACAGTTCAGTGGAGTGCTATTACCCTGAGCGGGACACGTGGGAGATGATTGCCCCAATGAATACCATCCGGAGTGGAGCAGGTAAGTGGGGCGATGGAAAGGAATTGGGTTCCTGTGTCCCAGAACTTTCACCAAGGCTGTCTTTTCTCTGCTGGTTGCGCCGAGATTGGAGGTGCGCTCCCTTTGCTCTCATCTGGCCGTGGGTGCTGCCTGGGTCGAGGGATCAGATTTGGTTTTACTCTCTGAATTTTCCAACTGCTCTTATATTGAATGGGCATCCTAGATTGACAATGGTGTTAGTAGTCATGGTGGTATTATTACTATTACTACTACTACTGCTACTACTATTATTAGGCCATCCATCTAACTGAGTTGTCCCAGCCACTCTGGGCAGCTCCCTACAAAATATTAAAAACAAAATCAAACATCAAAAACTTCCCTCTGCAGGGCTGCCTTCAGATGTCTTTGAAAAGTTGTTGAGTTCTTTATCTCCTTGACATCTGATGGGAGGGAGTTCCACAGGGAGGGTGCCATTACGGAGAAGGCCCTGTGCCTACTTCCCTGTAGCCTCGCTTCTCGCAGTGAGGGGATCACCAGAAGGCCCTTGCTGGACCTGTTTCTGGCCTGAGCGATGGGGTTGGAGACATTCCATCCAGTATATAGGGCTGAGGCCATTTAGGGCTTTCAAGGTCAGGACCAACACTTTGAATTGTGTGCTCGGAAATGTACTGGGAGCCAATGTAGGTCCTTTAGGTTATATGGTCCTGGCAGCAGCTCCCAGTGATGAGCTAAAGCTCAGGTGGAGAAACCTGTGGCCTGCCAGCTGATGCCGGACTCCAGCTGCCATCGGTTCCAGCCAGCACAGTGAATGGTTGAGGACAATGGGCCTTGTAGTCTAAAAACATCTGGTGCCCCACCCCAGGCTAGAGGCTGAAGTGCAGCTGCAGCGCAGATGAGTCAGTCGCATGGCACTCACAGGCCCATTTATTTTGCTGATGGGCCAGCCCTCCTGGTGCAGAGGCCTGTGCAATAGTAATGCAGCCATCTCCTACTGGCGATAGGTCAGTGAGGTCTTGGTCTCCTTATTGCTGATTGCCATGCAAAAATGGGGGGGGGGGGTTACTCTGGGAAACAGTGCCTTATGCTTCATTAGGTAGGCCAAAAGACTTCACACGTACTGCTTGAAACGAGACACTAAATATCTGTGGGGCCTCTGAATACGATGGGATGAGTCGGGGTCAGGCTAGTCTGTCTTAACACGGCTGCTTCCTCCCACAGGGGTTTGTGCGCTCAATAACTGCATTTATGCCATGGGGGGCTTTGATGGCACACTACAACTCAACAGCGTGGAGCGTTACGATGTGGAGGCGGGCACCTGGTCCTTTGCGGCACCCATGAGCCACCGCCGGAGTGCGCTAGGCGTCACTGTGCACCAGGGCAAGATCTACGTCTTGGGTAAGCTTGGCCAGCCAGGGTAGCTCTCTGCTGGGAGGGAGGTGGCAAAAGGACAAAAGGCTGCAGAAGGCAGGGTTGGCATAGCTCTTTTCTGCCCCCACCCCCCTTAGCATATCTATATTTCTAAAAGAGAATATGATCATATGTATGGTGGATAAAGACACTGGGAGGAATTCAGTGTGGGGCTAAACAGATTGCTCCATCAGCTTACCTGATGAAATCATCTCCCCTATGCTGTTCCCAGGGTTCTCCCAAGCCAATATGGGGGTGTCGCAGCTATTGCACTAACACAAGTCTGCTGGCGCTGTGGTCTAAACCACTGAGTCTCTTGGGCTTGCCGATCGGAAGGTTAGCAGTTCAAATCCCCACAATGGGGTGAGCTCCCGTTGCTCTGTCCCAGTTTCTGCCAACCCAGCAATTTGAAAGCACGCCAGTGCAAGCAGATAGATAGGTACTGCTGCGGTGGGAAGGTAAATGGTGTTTCTGTGTGCTCTGGCTTCCATCAGTGTCCCATTGTGCCAGAAGTGGTTTAGTCATGCTGGCCACATGACCCAGAAAGCTGTCTGTGGACAAACACCGGCTCCCTCGGCCTGAAAGCAAGATGAGCACCACAACCCCATAGTCGCCTATGACTTAACCGTCATCGGGCCTTTAACTTTTTTACCTATGCACAGGCATGGTGGGAGCGATTAGTTGGACATGGTCGCTTTATTTTCTTGTGTGTGTTAATTGCTGGCTCTCTCCCCATGCAGGTGGCTATGATGGTCACACCTTCCTGGATAGTGTTGAATGTTATGATCCCACCACCGATACTTGGACCGAGGTGACCCACATGACATCAGGCCGGAGTGGGGTGGGGGTGGCCGTCACCATGGAGCCATGCCGCAAACAGGGCGATGAGAACTGCCATTGCTAAGAGAGAGTGCAGAGCTTCCTTTCAAATGGAGGAAAGAAAACAAATGGGAGAAGATTCAGTATTAAGACATGCCTAGTGCTAAGTTCTGTTCTGCCAGGACCAAGGAAAAGTGCCAAGGATGAGCAAAACTTCAAAACTGAATTTGAACTACCTATGAGGGGCAGTGACTGTGAAGAACTGTCCCTGCTCTGAGCTTTTATCAGGGTAGTGTATCTGGTGATTTACGATTGACCCTGCCTCATTCTAGTACAGTGGTACCTCTGGTTGCGAACGGGATCCGTTCTGGAGGCCCGTTCGCAACATGAAAAGCCTGCAACCTGAAGTGCCGTATCTGTGCAGGTGCGCGGTGCGATTTGGCGCTTGTGCGCGAAGCACGATTTAGCGCTTCTGCGCGAGCGGCAAAACCCGGAAGTAAGCCTTTCCGGTACTTCCAGGTCACCCCAGGACACAACCTGAAAAAATGTATCATGAAGCAAACGTAACATGAGGTATGACTGTATTGGGAATCGTCTAAAAAAGGAACCTGCCTATGAGAATTGCAGAAGAGAGCTTGATGTTCACAGTGCCCTTCTTTCCAGATGTCTGGCAAGTGATGGTCTGGCAAGGAATAGTCTAATTATTGGGGGTGGGGGGTCTCCTTTGCATGGGACGCTTGGGAATACCTTGTAAATAGAGCATTCCTGCCTATTTGAAATGTTTATTGAACAGACAGTTTGACATCAAATTCAAGTCTGGATTTTTCTAAAGTTCCCTCTCTGCCTATTCAAACTGGTAAATTTTGACAGAACGCTGCAAAAGGAAGAAAGCTGGGCAGACTGTTTGCTCTTGTGTGGCTGATAGTTCTGCAAGGTAAGTGAACATAGCACAGGACCTAAAAAGACTTCAGGTGGGCCCTGGCTGCTTTTGAATTATTGCCACCCCATGAGAAGTGCTTGGCCAGGGTGCTTCCTGCATCAATTGGTTTTGTTTTTACCATCAAACTTACTGGCTTGAAATGAACTGGTTTTTAAATTACACTTCTCACACAAATAAAGCAACTTTTTGCGATTAGTACGAAAGTTTATTTCTTCTTGCTCTCTATTTACAGCTCTGACAAAAGTTACAACAGGGAAAGAAACACTGATCGCCTATAATAGGTATAGCCACTGTACATTCACGTCAAGGGACATCTCCTTCACCAGGCTGTGCTCACAAGGTTCCACAGGTAGTCGCAGATGAAGCTGCGGGAGTGTTGGCTGCTGTCAAGATTGATAGGCTGAGCAATGTCTGGCCCGTAATGAACTGAAGGCAAAAAGGGTTAAGGAAAAAACCATTATGTCTCCCCTCCCTGCAAGGAACCCCTATTTGCCTGCAGCGGAAGGATACTTCCTTTGACTATTGTTAGCTCACAGGAGTAGTCCCAGTCAATACGGCAGATCTGGTAATAAAGGTGCACAATGTACCTGTAAGATAGAATTGAACATATGAAGCTTCCCAGATCAGATCATTGCCTACTCTGGCACTGTGGCTGAGGTCCATTATATATACTACAGCCCCTTGAACATAAAAATCGTATCTGTGTGCTCTCGATACTACTTATGTACAGTACTACTTAGAGTAGTGCTTTGAAGTGTTCAAAGCACTTCATAAGCCTAAGCTGGTTGTCATCCTTAGAGCACTGTAAGGTAAGTCACTACTCTTCAGTTGCCAGTAGTGGAGGGGGCAGAGGCCAAGATACAGTGTGGGCTGTAATGACTAATAAAGGTTTGGCAAAGTAAATACAGTGGTACCTCGGGTTATATACGCTTCAGGTTACAGACTCCGCTAACCCAGAAATAGTACCTTGGGTTAAGAACTTTGCTTCAGGATGAGAACAAAATTGTGCTCTTGGCAGTGGGAGGCCCCATTAGCTAAAGTGGTGCTTCAGGTTAAGAAAAGTTTCAGTTAAGAACGGACCTCCAGAACGAATTAAGTACTTAACCCAAGGTACCACTGTAAGTACATTGTGGGGATTTCTTGATTCATGGCTCAGTCCCTTAGCTACTAAGGGCGGGGGGATATCCCAATTGCACCCACTGGCCATTAAAAAGTGGATAGTTTTATCTGAGCTCATCACCCAAAATCCTCAGGAAGATGTAACAAAACTGGGTTCCGGTTTACATAGAACCCTTAAACCAGTTCAGTGTCACGGGACAAGGAAGAAGCCACAAAGGGACAAAGAGAATACACACAGGCTTATGCCTCATTCCCAGTCCAATAAACCATGGCTGCATTAGACTGGAGATCAAAATGTCTGAATTGAGCCACTATCTATAGCTGGACCTGGGATACGATGCTAGGCCAACACTTCTGTACAGACCACTCACAATCACTCCATCCCCTCAGGATACAAGCAGGAATCTTCTTGTACTTAAAAATGTTCTTGAAACTGCAGCAGGCAGGATTCTGCCTCTAACTCAGTGGGAAAAGAAGCAGAGGTCCTTGTCACTGGCTTGGGCAGCTTTTAAGAAACATTTAATAAAGGGTAAGTGATACAATAATCTACCTTTTCCCTAACCAATTCACAAGACTAGGCTTAAATAAAAGGAGCAGAGGGAGGTCTCTACTTACATAGCCGATTTGGACACAATGGCATCATTATCTGCATTCTTCTCTTTCTGCCTGATTTCTTCTTTCAAAGCCTCCAGTTCTTTTCTTAAATCGGTATGATGTGAGTTAAGGAATAATAACTAGGATGCATTCCCCAAACCCAACAGGGGCTATTGATTTCAGCAAGGGCAAATTACTCTGAAATAGTTATTTGTCCTCTGAAGAAGGGCAACGAGGTGCCATGAAACTGTCTGATCTACTTGACTGCCTGTACAAAAGAGCAGACTAGAAATATAACACAATACAATGAAGCAAAAGGGTCTTCACATGGTGGACAGCTGAGCTGGATAAGCCTCTCTCCCTCTGTCTCAACTTGCAAGAGGGAAAAATTAGGAATACAATGGACGCTCGGGTTGCGAACGTGATCCTTGCAGGATGCACATTCGCAACCCGCAGCGGCGCGTCTGCACACATTGTGATTCGGCGCTGCTGCGCATGCGCAAATTGCGATTTAGTGCTTCTGCGCATGCACGACTGCCGAAACCTGGAAGTAACCCGTTCCAGTACTTCTGGGTTTCGGCGGTCCGTAACCTGAAAAAATGCAACTTGAAGCGTCTGTAACCCGAGGTATGACTGTACCGGGGATTGGGAACCTACGGTTCTTCAGATGTTGTTGAACTACAACACCCATCATCCCTAACCATTGGTTGTGCTGGCTGGGGATGATGGGAGTCAAGAGTTCAATAACATGTGGAAGACCTCGGGTTTCCCAATCCAAGGCTGAGGTGCCTTCAGCAAAGTGTCTCTTGACTTGCTTTTGTTCATCCCAAAATATATAAGCATCTACAAGAGGAAAGGAAAAGCTGAGGGTAGTTAAGATGCCCTTGACTTTAAGAAATCTGATTTCAAAAAGCGAGACTCCTGAGTAAATAAGAGTTGCTTCATCAAGCCCAATGGTGTCAAAGTGAGAAGCAGCGTCTCCCTGAGATCTCATGGGCAGGTCTTCCTAAGCCCCAGTATCGAAGGTCCTTTTCGTGAGGCTACCAGGGATTGAGACTTTCTATATTCAAAGTAGGTACTCTACGAGTTTCCTTTCCCATAAGAAAGGTTGGGGGAAAGGTAAAGTGAAGTCCTGCCCTCGTCAAAACAACAGCTGTTACCCCTGCTTGGTGAAATCAACAATTCTGGGAGAGACACAGAAATTAGCAAGGACATACAACTGAAAATACAGCTGAATACCAGTCCAGACAAATCAAGCTAAATCCACTCAGATGGCTAAACATGAGTAGACATACCCTGCCTTGCTGACCCAGGGTGGGATATACACCTTCACTTAGAAAAGTTACCAAACCTTGGCGGATCTGTAGTATGCTCTAATAGGGGAGAAATGTTTGAGGGATTGACCTCCCACCAGGGGATGTTTGGATTTGGCACCAAATGCAAATGGGAAAGGATATTTGGTGTTGGTCCTCAATTCAGCAGCCTTCTCATTTGCCTGGAGCAATTCGTCTTCAATTTTCTGCAGCTTTTGGAGGTTTGCATTCAGCTGCTGTTCCCTGTCGCAAAGTTTCTGGGCCACTTTCTCCTCTGCAGTCATGAGATCTGTCATAAGGAAAGGATAGGGTACCAACATTATAAAAGCGCACACTTCAGTTCTCCTGATGGTATTTAGGTAGCAGTACAAATCAATCCTCTTCCAGAAAACATTTGGGATCATCTGTTCTTTTATGACAGCTACTTTTAACATTTCTACTGTCAGGAATGTACTACTTTTGCAGATACTTGATTTTGTATTAAATTGCGTGTGAGACAGACAGACAGACAGACAGACATATATTTGCTATCTTTGGGAATTTTAACAAAATGCAGCCTATAAATATTTATCAGCAAACAAACATTATTACTACTAATGACAAGCACCTCTCCTTCAAATCCAATACTCCTTCACTTTGGGTTTACAGTTGAGAGACTTGCATTGATTCTGCAAAGCCCCACTGGAATCAAACACAGCCCCACTGAGAATCCATGAACATGTGGATTTTTTTTAAGAAGACCCCCCCAGATCCTTTCCAACTCTACGATTCTATGATTTAACAAAAAGATCAGTTGGTGAGGTTTGGGAATAACTACTATTCTTGAATGTTTCCAAGTTGTGGGAAGTGAGTTACCAGCTAAAATATTGTGGCCATCTGTGAAACTGTTTGTTCCTTAGATACTTTGCAAAAGGGTGCAGAGAATCCATCAGGGCCAGAGATTTTCCCACCTTCAAGTTTTTAATTCCTTCATCTCCTCTTTTGATACTTCCTTTTTCATACATTTGCTGTCGTCCTCCTTTAGTATAGGTGTCTTTAAAAAAATTTCATTTCTTTTAGAGGGGAGAGGTGGAGGAGTACAGAGGAGAAAAACTTTCTAAATTCTGCAGATATTAATTTTGCTATGAATATTATTTGTGTAGCCTAAGCCATTACAAAAAGCAAGATACATAGGACAAAATACATTATACAGCTAAAATAATTACTAAAACAAGGCATTCTGTCAGATAAATGTTTGCTCCCCTGAATGTTACTTATCATCCCCTCAAACTTTTCTCCTTAAAATTACCACTCTTAAGGCAAAACAAGCCATTTTTTTTCCAGAAGTGTAGGAGGACTTGGCCCCTAATAAAGTAAATCAGGTACCCAATTGATTTCTCAGCTGCAGGATTTGCACACAGACAGAATTAAAGGGAAGATGTGGCTGGTGACAACTACTTGAAATGACTGGATAGTATGACAAACCAACATTAGGTATCCCTTATAATAAACCCCAATTTCATTCAGAGTAAAAGCACCCAAGAGTGAGAGAGAGAAAGGCTGAGATTAGTGTTAACCTGATCAGTGTCTAGATGAGAACTCCACGCACACTACGGCCCCTCACAAGTACATCTCTGCAACCAAAGTGCCAAAGAGAGCTGGTAGGAAGCTACCCATCCAGCAAATAGATTCAGAATAGTTCAGGTTTTGAACATAGCTCCACACTTTCACCAAACTCCAAACAGCCCTTCTCTCTTCCTTCCTCTCCCCATTTCCCATGATGCACTTGTGAATCAACAAAATTCAGCTATCTCCAACCATGGAGTTCCTTTTTTAAAAAATATTTATTAAATTTTCCATTTTAACAATCCAATAAAAACCACATTAAAACATTCCAAATTATAATACAATCAAAAAAGCCAAATATTCAATGCCTGTCTGTCCGCTAGGGTGAACGGCTGTGCCCATTCCAGCTGAGCCTTTCCGTGCAGCTAATTGAGGATAATAGGGGAGTAATTCTCCTCCAAAAAATCCCCAGGGCCAGGGGGGGCTGCTCCACCTGCTGATCATCCAATTCCTGCCGCCTGTCTTGAAGGAATGCGGGGGGGGGGGGGGGCAGGGGGCGCTGGGTGCAATGCACCACGTGTTTTGGCAACTCTCCAAAGCTGTTGCCATGAGCGGAGGGCACCTGTTCTTAAGATGAAATTTGGACTTAATTAACAGGCAGGCTCTGAACTAGGAGGGATAAAGTATTCTGCTAATTGAATCAGCCACTGAGTGCCAAGGTTTCGACCTGAAGAAGGGCTTTCATTGTGATCGGATCGGTGTGTTGGGGGAGGTGAGCCTCCATTATCCTCTTTTGATATATTTTATATTTGCTGTTTTATTCAGCAAATCTCTCCCGAAAGACTGATGTTTGAAATGCAAGCGGGATTGAAAGAATATTTTGTTATTGCCATTGTTATGGTTTAATCACAAAGTTGACTGTGTGAAATTTTTACTACGATTCTGGCAATGGAATAATATAAAAAAGGGAAACCGAAAGTGAGTTGCTGAGGACTTTGGATTACAACAGGAAAATAAAGAATTCACAGAGAACTACAATGCACTAACCCACTTGCTAAACTAATTCAGAGGTTGCGAAAAAATAAACAAAGGATCAACATGGGGAACGTTTTATTTGGACTAATTAAGAAATGCAGTATGAGATTAGATCACCACCTGCCGAACTTCAGAGCATGGCAAGTCACCCAAAAGATATATAATCCAACCATGGAGTTCCTATGCAGGCAATGATCAAACTTTAGTACTGTAGTGGACTAGGAACACCTGGTGCTGTAATGTTCATCCAACCCCAAGCAAGTGCAGGGACCCTGGTCCACACAGGGTTTCAGTACATGAGGGCTGGTATTCAGCTAAGTTTTGCTAAGGGTAGACCCACTGAAATTAATGGGCCTAACTTAGTCATGTTCATTAATTTCAAAGGGTGTACTGCAGAGTAAAACTTAGCTGAATAACACCCTATCTGTTTTATACAATTTAGATACTGGTGTTCCAGGCCTCGATGTGCATAAGCATAAAATCACACAAATAGGGAGCACCCTCTAAAAAGCCTCTTAAATGGTCTCCACCTGTAACAAAATTAAGAGATACATGGTATTATACCCAGTAACATACTCAATCACAACTGTTGCTATTCAGTTACCTTTCAGCAGCTGGGCTGTGCTCTTTTGAGTATCCCAGAGCTTGCTGAGCATCTGCTCCTCTTTCACTAGAGTCTCCTTCAGAATTTCTGCCCCACTGGCTCTTGTCATCATTTCAAGCAGCTGCTTGGTCCTTCTGTCTAGATGTTGTAACTCTTCACTGAGGGCAGCCATCGCACCTATTAATATGCCAAGCTAAAGGGCAGGGGGAAGAGGGTCAGCATTTGGGGGATTCTAAGGCATGCAATCTCCCAGCAATTTCCAGAGGAAGGGTGATCTCCTGCTTGATCCCCCCCACCCAAAGTCCCTTTGAATAAATGCCAAAAGTGGCAGCAAGTTATGGACGGGTCATTCCAATATGGGCAAAACAGGGTGGAAGCAGCAGTGTGCCTTACCATTTCTACTGTTCCCAGTAAAAGGTAAAGGTAAAGGGACCCCTGACCGTTAGGTCCAGTCGTGGCCGACTCTGGGGTTGCGGCGCTCATCTCGCTTTACTGGCCGAGGGAGCCGGCGTACAGCTTCTGGGTCATGTGGCCAGCATGACTAAGCTGCTTCTGGCGAACCAGAGCAGCGCACGGAAATGCCGTTTACCTTCCCGCCGGAGCGGTACCTATTTATCTACTTGCACTTTGACGTGCTTTCGAACTGCTAGGTTGGCAGGAGCATGGACCGAGCAACAGGAGCTCACCCCATCGCAGGGATTCGAACCACCAACCTTCTGATCGGCAAGCCCTAGGCTCTGTGGTTTAACCCACAGCGCCAACCCATTATTATTATTATTAAAAAGTCTCAGCACATATCTGCTACCCAACAAAGGCTTTCTACCAGTTTTTACAATATTTGGCTACCAAACACCAATGTAGCCAAGTGCACTTGTAAATCATTATTATTATCAGATGGATTACCACCAGAAGCATATAAAAGCTTCCAAGCAATGCATCACCTGGGATTTTGTTTCCTCTCATTAATATATTTCTGTTTTCTTGCAACCGCAGATTTTCCCGCAGGAACGCACGCCCTCCCATCAGATGTCAAGAAGATAAATATACAACTTTTAGAAAGACATATAAAGGCACCCCTGTGTAGGGAAGTTTTTGGGGCAGCCAAGTCAGATGGGGTACAAATAATAAAACTATTTTTTTCTCCGTGTGCCCTGTCCCCCCACACCCCGACCATTCAATGCCATATTCGGAGCGGTCAGTTCTTGCTGCCTCCCTGGCGCAAGATAGGCGCCATACTCGGAAGGAAGCGTCAAAGGGGCTGCTCGAGGGGCACTGGGCGCCCGGCTATTGCCCCCCCCCCGGCCTTTCCCTTCCTGCCCCACCAAAACCCCAGGTTCGTCGCCGGCACTCTGCACATGGTCTAAGGCGCCCTTGACTGAGCTGAGCCTCGAGCAATCAGAGCAGGCCCGGCGGACAGGGGCATGAGCGTAGCTACTCCCCCCCTCCCCAAAAAAAGCACAAGTAAATAAACAAAAATGCCTAACTAAATGACCAACTGCATGGCAGACAACTTGGTTCCCCCCCCGGCCCCCCCCACACTTTAGGCCTAGCCCCCCCCAAGTAAACCCTGGCTGCGCCCATGGACGGGGACACGCCTCACATCGAACGGCGAGGTTCAGAAGCGAAGGACCCTCCTCGCTTGCCTTCCTGGCGTCGCCCGCGCCGATTCCGAACTCGGCGCCTCTGAAACGCTCAGCGAACAGTCCGCCCTGATTGGGCGCCGCCGAAACTCGCGAAGCGCTCATTGGCCGCCTCTGGAGTGACGTCACGCGCACGCGCGGCTCCGTCGTTCCTCTCCAAACCCTAATGATAGGGAAAATGCAGCAGACTCCGCCCAAAAGAGGAATTATAGCCAATGGCCGTTTTCGATTCCCTCCCCCGGAAGTCCATGTCGTTGTGTCACTCTACACTTTCCCTCCCTAACTTTATGATTCACACACACACAAACACACACACCGCCTCAATAGCGGCCGGCTTCGTTACTCAAAGCGCATGCGCGCGACCGTTGCCAAGCCCAAACGTTTTTCTGCCTGCCGCTTGCACATACACCCGACTTTCTTCTCGTGCGCATGCGCTCCTTTCCTCCTCGTCCTCCTTTCCTGCCCCGCCCTCCTGAAAGCGCCGAGCTTCCACGCGGGCGACGCCTTCGCCGCGAAGAGACGCCAGGGGGCGCTGCTCTGCCCCGACTCGGTTCCGCGTTCGAAGCTGCTTTTCCATATACAGTGCATTTTTAATTTTAATTTTTTTAAAAAAACAACAACAACATAATTTTAAATATATAAAAAAAGCTGCGAGCCTCGCTTTTCTTGTAAACCACATTTGCACAAACTGACCGAACCGAAAGCTTTGTAGAGAAGAGGGTTCCAAAGGAGCGCAGTTTTGCTT